TTTTTCTCCTGCCCAGGCAGAGGGTCAGACTTGAAGATCTACAAGGTCCCTTCAACCCCACTTCTGTGATTCTATGGCTGGCCTTGCTGGCTGCGGTCTGGCATTGGCAGCTCATGTTCATTTGGAGTCAATAATGATTCCAAGATCCCGTCCTGCCTCTGTGTTTTCAAGAAGGAAAGTCCCCAGCCCGTATGTATGCTGTGGATTCCTTCTCCCAAGGTGCAGCACCCTGCATTTGTCTATGTTGAACCCCATCCTATTCTCATCTGCCCACTTTTGTAGTTTGTCTAAATCTAGTTGCAGCCTCTCTTTCCCTTCAAGTGTGTCCACCTTGCCCCACATCTTAGTGTCTTTAGCAGACTTAGACAGCTGCTTTCCACCCCCTCGTCCAAGTTGCTGATGAAGATGTTAAACAGTGCAGGCCCGAGGACCGACCCCTGAGGGACCCCACTGTTCACATCTAGCCAGGCTGAGTACGATCCGTCTGCCGCTACTCTCTGGGTGCGCCCCATCAGCCAATTTTTTACTCACCCAACTGTGTAGGCATCAATGCCACAGTTGCTTAATTTATTGATGAGGACGGGGTGAGAGACAGTGTCAAAGTCCTTCTTAAAGTCTAGAAAGACTACGTTCATGGTGACACCATCACCCAAGGATTTAGTTACTTGGCATAGTTACTTAGGTCTGTGGTTTTCTTCTCAGCACTGGCTACTCTATGTGCTCAAGCCTGTACTTTGCTTTCCCCTGGCTTCATACCTGCAAAGTGATTTTGTTTTTCACAAGGAGCCCAATTTTGATGTCCATGAGATTGAGATCATTTTCTAGTTGTTGATTGGAGCGGATCAGGGTCACAACCTCCTCACGCAGCTTCATAAGGTCAAGCTCCTCTTGGAAATCCTGATCACTCTGATCCAGTAAGTGAACAAATTTTCGAAGCACCACCATAGGTGGGTTTTCAGCATTGACTAAGGATATGATGGAACATCAGGAAAAATGGCAAGATCATAACAGCACAGAAAGCATCTATCTAGCACCTGGCAAACTCAGGACCATGCAATAAATGCAACAGCATTTGCAGTACCTTATTTTTTATCAAAATGTGACAAGAAATAAGAACAGTCAAACCAATATTTATCTGGGCTAACGTGGGGTGTTCAGACTAATTAAAAAGTCTGAATCCTACCTTCCAGTAGCAACTGTGATATGTAGAACCAAGATTTCCCTCAGCCTCATGTACTTCGCACACTACCATTATTCCAAACTGTCCATGATGCAACCAAGCACATTAGCAGTGTGCTAAGAATACTGTGCTGCCACAGGTGTATTCCCATGGCAATACTTACTGAGAGTTTTGTAGTCATCTCGTGCTTTATTTGCGCGGATGAAGGCCTGGATTTTTATCACATCATTTATCTAGAACGAGAAAAAAAAAAAAAATCGCACATCAATTCGTTCATTGTAAAAATACAGAAAATTTGTATTTAACTAGTATAGCAGAGAAAGGATCTTACATGGTCTTTGAAATACTGCAACCGATTCCTGTACCGCTTTCTGGCTTGATACATCCTGGTCATTGACTGAATCTATGGGAAAGAAAACAGTCAGAGACAGTCTTTACTCCACAACAGGCTCTTGTAGGAATTTCACTACCACAAAGATACTGAACAATAATCACCAGGAGTTTAGAGGAACACGGTACGAATTATCAAAAGGACAGAAAGGACTGACTTATGAAAAAGTCGAGAAAAAACAATCATTTTGGTGAAGGGCTTGTCTACAAACAGGGTGGTGGCACAGCCTGCTTCCACCTGGACACTCAAAACTTGATGAGGCTGCTCCACAGTCAGACCCAACAGCCACGACTAAGGCTTTGGAGACAGGTCTTAAGAGCAGCTGCAGAGGGATTCCACAGAGCGTGTCTACAAGTGTTTGGGAACGGCTGTTCCAGGTGGCATAGACAGGCCTTAGATTACAGACGGCGATGAAGGGAGACAAATCCAACTTTCTACAAACCCAGAAGTGCCTGGATTCCAAGAACCAGTGGCTCTCAACTTCATTAGACTTAAGACACGCCTCAGAAAATGTCAGCTTTTAATTTTCAGTTGTTTGGGGTTTTTTACTACAGAAAAGTAACAGAAGAAGTCTTCTGTTGCAAAGAACTCAGAAAGACCACAACAGGTCAGAATGTTTCTGACTTGTGAGTTCCTGTTTGAAAACTTTGGGTTTAATCTTGTGAATCATGTTTGCACATCTAACTGCTAACAACACTGTGTAGCATCCCATAGCATCCTGGAAAGAATCCCAAGGCACCCCAGGGTGCCACAGCACCCTGGCTGAGAATCAGTGATGCAGATATTTAGGACAGTAAGCAAGGGTTGGGGGGAGTATAATAGGAACAGCAGGATTAAATTTAGACAAGAATTCAAGATAAACACTAGGACAGACTTCCAGACAGTCCATAAGATTGAAAGAGGAAGAAGTTTTACAGCGACTTAAGAGGTGACTAAACAAAGAACTAGAAACAAAACATAACCCATGGAAGAAAATAACTCTGGCCTGGCCTCTAGGAAGGGTTATGACCAAAAGCTATTTTCCATCACTAATTACAATATCTTTAGCAGCAGACGCTTCCCAGAAAGCCGTACCTTCACTACTTGGTCCTTGTGCGCTTGCAAATACCCCAAGCGATCTTGGTATGCCTTCCGCTGCTTGTAGCCACGCCACTGAGACTGAGATCAAAGAAAGTGGTTACATTGTAGGATGGTAGAAAAGGTGCATCTACAATTCCCACCTCTGCTGAGTGGCTCAGCTTTCCCCAAGGTCACCTCTGACCCCTTGTTAAATACTGAGGCTACATGATTTGCCATCATTAGGGACTTTATTATGGGTCTCATGGTAGATAGAGATGGGCTTCTAGAAGGAAGACAGGAAAGTGACTGAGCAGGCACAGTTAGGAAAGGTGTTTCCACCTGAAGGGGCCTGTGGAAGAGGGTGTGAAGCTACTTGAAAGAGAAACTGCTCATTTTCATTAACCTTGAGGCAGATATTTTGCTGCAGACACTGGGGGTTGGATGAGGCAGAGGGTCAGAGGAGTTCAATTATCATTTACTGTGAAAGGTACAATTTTACTGTTTGAAATGCAGGTACTGTTTGGATGAGGAACATATTTAGGCATTAGCTCACTTCTAACTAACAAGCAAGAAGTAATAGTCAATATCCCAGCACATGTAGAAGGGATGCAAAAGAAGTCATGCAGAGATGTGGGACTTTCATTACCTGGATGCAAGTGATTGCGGGGACTTGCTTCTTCAAGAAACTCAATCTTGAGTTAAATTCCTGCCGAACAAGGTATCCACGACAACAAGCCTGCAGCTTGGTGATCAGACTCTCATTGGCCAGCCAGAGCTGCTCTCGGTTGTAAGCAGCAGTAACCCCAGAGATGGTGCTCTGGATCCGGTGGGGCAGGAGGAAGCCATAGTACAAATTACAAAAGGGAAACCAGAACAGAGTGAGGCGACAACAAGCAGAGCATCGGGTTTGGGTTATTTTTAGATGAGCATCATCTCACAGCCAGCTACAGCCAGTCCGTTTTGACTTTAGCATGAACTGTTCCAGCACTGTGAGGGAGAACTGCCCATGTGGGCAGCCAGGAGCATGGACAAAGGTACCCAGGTAGTGGCTTCAAAGGGATGGGAGAGCTGTTAGTGCTGCTGTGGGCTCATGCACTGCCACAGCTGCTGTTTGGTCCGAGCAGTAAATGCTCCATCCAGAGTCAATGTTGGGGCAATTTAGCTCATCGGTGTCCCTACAGCATCACAGAAATGCAACAGTTACAGTACAACAGCTGCTGTACCCTACAGAAGCAGCCTCCCCTCCTCTTCTGAAGCCACTACAAACGTACACTTGTCCGCACCCTGAGGGACCTTATTTTTCGAAAAAGGGAACATTTTATCCTCCTACCTGTATCTCCTCTCGGGAGAGCTGTGTGCTGTTGTGTACAAATCCTGAAGGTTCATCCCATGCTCCATCTCTGCTTCGCAGGTTATGGTAATAATGGTAGCCGCCTCTCACCCAATGCTTCACCCACTCACTAGCATTGTCCCCTAAAAGAAACAGAAGTGTAAGGCTCAAGGAGAGAGACAGCCTTCCAGCAAACAGACAACATTAACTAGAAAGTCATAACAACAATTTAAATATGTAAATGTCTATTCCCTGCAAATAGATGAACAAAAGATAATGTTCCCTTGAGATTTCACTGAACTCCTATGACTGCCACCTAACTTAATATGTACTAGAAGTGAAGAGGGGTCAACTAATCAACTTACATGCATCCTACCCCCTCTGCCATGGGAGAACAAGGCTTTATTACAGCATCTCAATACCCCCCCTGCCCCTTCCACATACACAATCCTGCCCCAATCACTTTTCTCCCAACTAAAACATACCAAGTTCCTTCAGCCTAACTTTATACAGCTTGCTTTTCAACCCCTTTATCACCTTTGCTGCTTGCTCCTGAATTCTCAAAAGTTTTTCTACATTCTTCTTAAAATGGCGGTTCCCGGACTGGGCTTGGTACTCCATCTATGGCCCAATAAATGCTAAGCAGAATGATACTAGCACAGGGGTGGGCAAAATATGGCCCTGAGGCCAGATCTGGCTGGCCAACTGACTGGACAGCCCACAGCTGTCCCTGCAGAGCTCTGCCAGGGGCCAAGCCCCGCACACTCCTGTTGGGGCAGCCCATGCCACGCTCCAGCCTGCGCCCGCTGGCCCAGGCCCCAACCAGCACGCAAGCAGCTTCCAGCAGAGCTGTTCCCAGTGCAGCTGCAGCCAGTGGGGTGCTGTTCTGCTTCCCTAGCCTGCAGCTGTGGCTCCTCCTCCTACCCCACATGCAGAGAGGTGTGTGTGCGTGTGCATGTTGGGGAGGGGCAGGTCCTGCTTCAGCTTCTGGCTCTAGCTCCCAGCTACCTTCCACCCGCTCCACTGGACCTGTGCAATGAGCAGCCACCTGCAGGAGGGCAGAGTGGGTGGAAGGCAGCTGGAGCAGGAGCTGCTCAGCTGAAGCTCCCCCTCCCTGATCAGAGCAGCGTGGCAGGGGCAGGAGGAGCCGCTGCTGGAGGTAAGGGAAGCAGGGCAGCACCCAGCTGGCTGCTGCTGCACCAGGAACAGCCCCACCAGAAGCTGCACGCTGCCTGGGGTCAGGCATGGCAGGGGCTGCCCCAGGCAGGAGCAGGCAGGGCTCAACGCCATGTGGGAGCAAGTTCTGATGCACGTGCCCCACACCCCCCCACCCCCCTGGCTGGCTTCTGGCACTTAGCACCCAGGCAGCCCCCCGCCCACACATACATATGCACATGCCCTCCTCACACCCCCACACCGGGCAGGGATGCAGGCAGGGATCAGGGCTTGGCTCGACACCTGGCCCCCAGCCCCGGCACTGCAACAGCTCATCACAGCTCCCTATGTGGCCCTCAGGCCCAAATAACTGCCCACCCCTATATTATATATCCCACGTCTTGCATACAATGCTTCCACCCAAATGACATAAATGCTTCCCTACATCGAATACACCATTTCAGACAGACTTAGTTCTCTGGCCCCTGCTCTCCATTCCATCATGTCATTTCATCTGTTGTCTCTCAGCTAGTTTTCCATTTAGGATTCAGTCACGCAAGTCCCATAATTCACCTGCTGCCATTTTCTTCTTCTTCGCTTCTGCCAACTCTCGCTGGTACGTCTCAGCACACTCTGGAGTGACTCCATAAAGCCCGACATCAGGTGAGCGCAGGGCACTGAGGGTTTGGCTAACATCACCACGGTCCACTGCTTCATTAATGGCCAGAATTCCTAAAGAAACTTCCGTAACACACAGAAAAACGAGTTACCTGCATGCAGGGATTCAGCGTTCGACACCAAACACTGGGCCACACGGTGAGGAAAAGCAACTGTGACTGCATATTCAGGGGTGGAGGATGATGGACTTTGGGGTCACATCTGTAGTAACAGAGTATCTTACAGGAGCATGACTGTTCACAGATATTTTACTTTCATTCCACTCTGTTCAGTTTATCTATGTGATTCTCAGTTCACTAAGAGAAGCCATGGTCCATGGATAGTTACACTGAAACTGCAATTGCAAGACAAAACTGAGTGTGTTGGGTTAACATTTAGGTTATGGGCAAGCATCACATGACTCAATCCTTGCCCAAACAAAGCCAATTTAAGAACACAAGAATCATTTTCTGGGTCAGACTGTAGGTCCCTCTTGCCCACTCTCCTGTGTCACACAGGGGCAAAGAGCAGATACTGAAAGGGAGAGTGAACAGGGTAAAACTAGGGGTTTTTTTCCACAGTTCCTCTCCCACTTGCAATCTCCAGGATTTAAGGTCTAGGAAGTTCTAATTCAAAGGCCATGCCCTTAACTCCTGCACTCGATAGCTACCGATGCACCTTTCCTCCAAGAATTTGTCCAATCCCTTTTTTAATCTGGTTAAACTGTTTCTTAATTATGCGAAGTAGTATGCAAAGGATTTCTTGTAGCTAGTCTACAATCTGCTGGAAAGAAACAGACTGCAAGTTGGGTGCAGAAGCACCGGCTTCCCTTAGACTGAATATTCCTTGTTATTACCTTCAAGCTGCTACCTTGGCAAAGCAGCTGTTTAGACAGTTCTAACGGGTAGAGCAACCTATTTTGTTCCCATGGTACTAACGGGAACAAAAGACGAGATGAACTGCGCTCTAGATAAAGTCCTAGAGCTTTTTGCATACAGAATTTGCAGAAGACGACCTTGGCCAAAGAATATTGGTTTAAAAGGGAAATCCATCACCATCTACTAAAAGGATTTAGGAAATGCACATTAAACTCCTTGTTCTGAACATTCACACTGGATACATAAATTTTTTAAAGCTCTTGCTTCTGTGCAACATTTAAAAGACAAAATGGAAACGGAGCAAGGAAATGCACGCAATGCAAGTCCAAGGTCACTTTTGAGACTAGGGAACTGGGAGGTCCACATCTACTGCACCAAACACCCTGAACCGCAGAAGCACAAATGATGCTGTGGCACCACGGTAGGGAAATACACTCTTCCCAGTGCTCCAGAGCCACTGGCAGGGAACACTGAACTTTCAGGTTCCCGTGTCTGAAGAAAGGACCCAAGTGGCTCATCGACCATCTCTGAAAATGTTCAATACCATTATAATGAAAACATAATTATACTTCCTCTGTTTCTTTAATTTCTAATAAATATTTTTTAACCAGATTACAGACAGAAAGAGCACTGAGAAAAAGGTAACCTACAATGGGTGGGGAATGGGGGCCCAAGAACACACAGAAGATAAAAGGCTCCAGTACTGTGTCTTGGATTTCAGTACAAGGAAGGCTGACCAGTCTGCATGGCAAACACTGTCAAGAATGAAAGACTGAAAAGAATCCAGAGAAATAATAGGCAATTGAAAGATCTTGATAATTTAATAATCCCTAAATTAACAGAACTCCCACTTGCCTCAGAAAGCTAACGTGGCAAATGAAGGAAAACTGGCAAGCAGAACTTCAAAAGGCTTTTTCACATCATTTGCTACAAACGACCAATAAGAAAATTTAAAAACGCAAAGTGAGAAGAAAAATCCTACTAAGAACAACAACAAAAAAGAATTAAGAGACAGAAAGCCAAGAGCAGGAATCTACCAACATTTCCAGAGGCTGAAAGGAGGTAAACAGGGAGGTGCCCCAGCAAATAGTGCAAGGTTTAGCATTCAAGGTATTTTTGAAGCAATCTGAAAGCTGTGGAGAAATGACAAAGGTGAAGACCATTAACATATGAAACAATTTAACTTAGGAATTCCCAAAGCATCTAATAAAACTCAACAATTAGGTAAAAGACTGGCAGAATGAATTTACTGTAAGTAAGTATATTTTGACTTCAGCAAGGCTTTTGATATGGTCTCCCAGAACATTCTTGCAAGCAAGCTAAGGAAGTACAAGGTTGGATGAATGGACTGTAAGGTGGATAGAAAACTAGCTGGATCCTCAACCTCAGATGGTAGTTATCAATGACTCACTGTCTACTTGTCAGCTGGGATCAAGTGGAGTGCCCCAGGGGTCGGTCCTGGGGCCTGTCCTGTTCAGTATCTTCAACAATGACCTGAGAGATGGGATGAATTGCACCCTCAGCAAGTTTGCAGTGGGGTGTAGTAGATATGCTGAATGGTAGGGCTAGGATTCAGAGTGACCTAGACAAATTGGAGGATTGGGCCAAAAGAAATCTCATGAGGTTCATTAAAGACAAGTGCAAAGTCCTGCACTTAGGATGGAAATTTCACTGGTACAGGATGGGGGCTGACTGGCTGGGCAGCAGATCTGCAGAAAAGAATCTGGGCGGTGGACAAGAAGCTGAACAGGAGCCAGCAGTGTGCCCTTGTTGCAAGAAAGGCTAACAGCATCCTGGGCTGCATTATTAGGAGAGTGATTCTTTCCCTCTATTCTGCACCGGTGAGGCCGTATCTGGAGTCCTGTGTCCCGTTTTGGGCGCCCCACTACAAAAAAGGTGTGGACATATTGAAGACAGTCCAGTGGTGGGCAATGAAAACGGTTCAGGGGCTGGGGGACATGACTTGTGAGGAGAGGCTAAGGGAACTGGGCTTACTGAGTCTGGAGAAGAGAAGACCGAGGGGGACTGAATAGCAGCTTTCAACTTCCTGCCGGGAGGCTGCAAAGAGGACGGAGCTGGGCTGTTGTCAGTGGGGGCAGATGACAGGACACGGAGCAATGAGCCCTAGTTGCAGCAAGTGAAGTTGAGGTTGGATATTAAGAAGAACTCTCTCACTAGGAGGGTAGTAAAGCTCTGAAACAGGCTCCCAAAGAGGGTGTGGACTCTCCATCCTTGGAGATTTTTAAGACCTGGGTAGACAAAGCTTTGACTTGGGTAAATAAAGCCTTGACAGCATGGGTTTATTAAAGTCAGGTCCTGTCAGACCAACCTGATTGCCTTCTACGATCAGGTCACAAAATCATTAGACACAGGTGTCGCGGTGGACGTAGTCTTTCTGGACTTCAGAACGACCTTTGACACTGTCTCCCACCCCATTCTCATTAAAAAGCTAGGTGACTGTGGCATTGATGCCTGCACAGTCATATGGGTCACCAACTGGTTGGGGGCTGCACTCAGAGAGTGGTGGTGGACGGGTCATTTTGGACCTGGAGGGATGTGGACAGTGGAGTCCTCCAGGGCTCAGTCCTCGGGCTCGTACTGTTCAATTTCTTTATCGGTGATTTGGACGAGGGGGTGAAAAGCACCCTGTTCAAATTCACTGACGATACTAAGATTTGGGGCGAGGTGGGCATGCTAGAAGGGAGGGACAGGATACAGCTGGACCTGGACAGGGTACGGGGTGGACAAATGTGAATAGGATGGGATTCAACACTGACAAGTGCAGAGTACTGCAGTTGGGCAGTAAGAACCACCAGCATGCCTATAGCCCGGGGAACTCCTTTCTTGAAAGCACGGAGGCAGAAAAGGATCTTGGAGTCATTATCGATTCCAAAATGAACATGGGCCGGCAGTGTGGGGACGCGGTCAGGAAGGCCAACTGCACCTTGTCGTGCATCCACAGATGCATCTCGAGCAGGTCCAGGGAGGTGATCCTCCCCCTCTATGCGGCACAGGTCAGGCCACAGCTGGAGTACTGCATCCAGTTCTGAGTGCCACACTTCAAGAGGGATGTGGACAACATGGAGAGGGTCCACAGGAGGCCACTCGCATGATCGGGGGCAGCAGAGCAGACCCTACAAGGAGAGGCTATGGGACCTGAACCTGTTCAGCCTCCACAAAAGAAGGCTGAGGGGGATCTAGTGGCCGTATATAAACTTACCGGGGGGACCAGCGGGGAATGGGTGAGACCCTGTTCCCCCGAGCACCTCCTGGAGTAACAAGGAACAACGGCCATAAGTAAATTGAGATTAGGTTCAGGCTAGACATCAGGAGGTGCTACTTCACAGTCAGGGCAGCCAGGATCTGGAACCAGCATCCAAGGGAAGTGGTGCTGCCTCCTACCTTGCGGGTCTTTAAAAGGAGGCTGGATAATTACTTAGCTGGGGTGATTTGAGCTTAAACTTAGTAGGGATCATAGGAGTACTATATTCATTCCTGCCCAGGGCAGGGGGCCGGACTAGATGATCTGCTCAGGTCCCTTCCGACCCTACTTCTATGAAACTATGGATGATGTAGTTGGGGCTGGTCTAGATGCAAACTCCTAAAGTCCCTTCCAACCCTCACTTTCTATGATTCTAAGTAAATACAAGGTTATGTGCATAGGAAGACAAACTTTTGATTTTAAGCACGCCTGTATACAGATTCATAGACTTCAGGGCTGGAAAGGACCTCAGAGATCATCAAGTCCAGCCTCCTGCTCCAGGGGCAGGAAGCCAGCGGAGTCAAAGGATCCCAGCAAGATAAGCATCCAAGCGTTTCTTGAATGAGTCCAGAGTAGGTGCCTGCACCATCTCTGGAGCAGTCTACTCCAGGTCTTAGGGGCTTGGACAGTAAAGAAGTTTTTCCTTATGTCCAACCTAAAATGGTCTCGGAGGAGTTTATGACCACTGGTCCTTGTTTTTCCTTGGGGCGCTCTGGTGAACAGACATTCTCCCAGATCCTGATGCACACCCGATGTACTTATAGGTGGCCACCAGGTCCCCCTGAGCCTGCACTTTTCCAGACTGAAGTCTCATGGCTTTCGGCCTCTCTTCATAAGGCCTGTTCTCCTGTCCTCTGATCATGTGTGTGTCTCTCCTCTGGACTCTCTCAAGCCTCTCCACATCCTTCTCAAATTGTGGAGCCCAGAACTGGATGCAGTACTCCAGCTGCGGCCTCACCAAGGCCAAGTACAGTGGGAGGATGACATCCTGGGATTTACTTGAGAAGCATCCATGGATGCAAGCCAGAGGTTGGTTTCTTTTACCAGCTGTGACACTGTATTGGTGGCTCATGTTCATCTTGTGGTCAATCATGACCCCCAAGTCTCTTTCAGATGTGGTGCCAGCAAGTGTAACACTGCTGAGCCTATAAGCATGCTGCAGGTTTCCACCCCCCCACCCCACCCGAGGTGGAGTGCCTTACATTTATCGGTATTAAACATAGCCAGGTTTGTATCCACCCACTTATTAATTTTATCCAGGTCAGCCTGGATCACCAGCCTGTCCTCCGGTGTGGACGCTGTGCCCCAAAGTTTAGTGTCATTGGCGAACGTAGCCAGTGCGCTTCTGACACCAATGTCCACATCATTGATAAAGATGTTAAAAAGAACCGGTCCAAGGACAGAGCCTTGGGGGACGCCACTGGTCACGGAGCACCATGATTCACTACCATCGACCGCTACTCTCTTGGAGCCAGTTTCCCAGCCAGACTGTGGTGTAGCCGAGGCCACAGTTGGCCATCTTTTCCATGAGGAGGTCGTGGGACAACAGATAAAAAGCTTTTTAAAGTCCAGATATATGACATCAATCTCTTCTCCCTTGTCCACGTGACATGTCACCTGGTCATAGAAGGAGATGAGATTGGTCAGGCAAGACCTACCCGCCACAGACCCGTGCTGGCTGTCCCTCAGGATGCTACCCTCAGCCAGCTTATCCAGAAGAGTCTCCTCGATCATTTTCTCCAGAGTCTTACCGGGAATTGAGGTCAAGCTGACTGGCCTGTAATTCCCAGGATCAACTTTCTGCCCTTTCTCGAAGATGGGTACCACACTGCCGTTCTTCCAGTCTTCAGGTACTTCACCTGAGTGCCACGAATTTTTGAATATTTTTGCCAATTATTGGGCTATGTCATCTGCCAGCTCCTTGAGTACTCTAGGGTGTAATCTGTCAGGACCAGCTAACTTGAAGGTGTCCAGCCTCTCAAGGTGATCCTTTACTAGATCAACACCAAGCCTGGGTATAAATACACCCTCCTCCTGGCTGTCCCGCATCTTGCTAAGCAGGGCAGTCCCATTGGACTGATGAAAGACTGACACGAAGCACCCATTGAGAAGATGGCCTTTTCCTGAGTGTTGTTATCAGCTGTCCCGTTTGGTTCAGCAGGGGTCCAATGTTACCCTTGCGTCTTTTCTGGCTCCCTACATATCTGAAAAAGGACTTTTTGTTATCCTTGATACGTGTGGCCACATGGAGCTCGGCTGCAGCCTTGGCTTTCCTGATCCACTCCTTGCAGGTATGGATCAGAGCCGAGTACTCCTCCTGGGTGGTACCTCCAAACTTCCACCCTTTATAAGTTTCTCTCTTGAGGCATAGGAAGTCCTTGAGTTCCCTGCTGAGCCAAGGAGGTTGCTGTGCCCTTCTGCTACCTGTCCTCCGAGATGGGATGGCCATCCCTTGCGCTGTCAGGATCGCTCCCTTGAGGAGCAACCACTCCTCTTGGACTCTTCTTCCTGTGGAGTCGTGGTCCCTTAGGGCCTCGACAATGAGCCTCCTGAGCTTGTCAAAGTCAGCTTTCCTGAAGCCAAGGACTTCTGCATTGCTGACTGACTTGCCAGCTTTGCAATGGATAGTAAAGGTGATCAGCTCACAGTCACTAATAATGCAGACAATAATGAATTAGCTGCAACCTCAGGGAAGAGATCTAGATATCCAATGTGCTACAGTGGATATGGATACAAGACTGGGTGTTGGAATATAACCAGAAGGTGACAGAGAACAATGAGGAAAAAGGGAACATATTAAGTAATTGGTTAGTAACTGAAGGGCCATCCTCACTATAACTGTTGTCCTAAGTCTACCGACTTCATGTCCAGCACTCTTCCAAGGACCTCTACTGCTACCCCGACACTAACAGCCTTGTTTCATAGATTATCAGGGGCTGGAAGGAACCTTGGAAAACCATCAGGTGCAGCCCCCTGCACTAAGCAGGAAAGACAGCTGGGGTGAGGTGACCCCCAGCAACATAACCGTCCAGTCTCCTCTTGCAGATTTCCAGGGTAGGCGATGCAACACCTCTGGAGAGAGTTTATTACACAGTCTGGACACCCTGACCATGAAGAAGTTTTTCCTGAAGTTGAGCCTGAAAAGGTCTTCCAGGAGTTTACGGCCATTACTCCTGGTTTTCCCCAAAGGAGCCCTGGTGAACACTTGTTCACCAAGCCCTTGACATATTCCCCTGATATAGCAGTAAGTTGCTACCAAGTCCCCTCTCAGCCTTCTTTTTCAGGCTGAAGACTCCCAGGTCCCTCAGCCTTTCCTCATATGACTTGCCGTGCAAGCCTCTAATCATATGGGTGGCCCTTCTCTGGACTCTGAAGCTTTTCTGAGTCCTTGTTGAAGTGCAGCACTCAGAACTGGATGCAGTACTCCAGCTGTGGCCTCACCAATGCTGAGTACAGCAGAAAAATCACTTCCTTAGTTTTGCTTGAGATGCATCGGTTGATGCCTGCCAGCGTATTGTTTGCCCTGCTCGCTACAGCATCCCACTGCTGGATCATGCTCATACTGTGGTCTATTATTACCCCCTGACCGCTTTCAGTCATGGTGCTAGTCAGTTTGGCACCATCGAGCCTGTAAGCATGATGGGGATTGTTCGTCCCCAGATGGAGCACTTTACATTTATCAATGCTGAACTCCATCCGTTCTTTATGTAGTGTAAGGACTAACCCCCACCCCCTGCCTTTCTGCTACATGTGTCAGGGTATTTTTTAGCCAACACGCAATGCCTGAGGAAGGCTTAAGTCAAAGCTGGGGATGTTGACTGGAGTGTGCCAATGCTCCTCCTGGGACCAAAGCCAGAGATTGCTGGCTAGATGGTCTTGGCCTTCCGCTCAGGGTCAGGCAGACTGCCACACTGGGGGTCAGAAAGGAATTTTACCCCATGGTCAGATTGGTACGGACTGGGCACGTTTGCCTTCCTCTGTAGTGAGGGGGGCATGTCCCTCTTCCTGGATCTCTTGAGCATATACTGACAAAATTTCATAGAAGCAGGACATTGGCTGCCGTAGTTCTCCTTCATTACCAGGGGCAGGTTAGGGTGTTAATTCTGTGTTGTGTCAGGGCTACGGGTAATCTCATGTAGAGTTTAGATTATGGATCATATAGGATGGTTAGGACATGGCTACTTTTGCCTCAAACTGGGGTTGGCCTAGATGACCTCTGGAAATTCCTTACAGCCCCACTTCTCTGTGATTCCATTATTCTTTGATGAAGATTAATTGAAACATTAATGCACGACTTACATTTCTGTGCCTCCTCCGTGTCCTTGTTGGCCCGATGAATCCCATCCTGAATTTCATCCAGCCAAAGCACAGCTGTCTCATCCCGAGTGTCCTGAAGCAAAAATGGAATAATGAACAAACAATGTCTCCAGCTATGCATCTAAGGGACTATGATTAGTGAAGTTAGCTGTCCAGTTGGCAAGTATCCATGTATTTCGTTTAATGCACAGAGGGGAAAAAGACACATTCTTCTTTACATATTCTGCATTTCACTGAAGCACAAGAATTAACATTTCTCGTGCATCTGTGACCAGCAGAGGCTGCTACAACCACAGCTCAGGCTCACCTCCAAATAGAAACCTGCAGGCTCGGATAAGCACAGACCACAGCCATGAGCACTGACCCACTGAATCGGCACCTTCTAGTTGAAAGCCTTGATGCTGTTCTTCCCATAGAACATTTCTTCCCATTTTACCATGAAAATGAATTGTGACTTTACAACCAAAGGGTGAACAAAGTTCAAATAAGTTTGACCATGTCCATACCGGGAGGCCAAAGTGTCAGACTATCTTTGGCTGGAAGTGCAGTTAAACATAGTTTCTGCTATGCATGGGAACCCTGTTTTAACAGGCTGGCACATATGGGGTATTTACCATGCCATGCCCATTCTGGCTAGGCTTTGAACAAAACTAGTCAGCTGTGTTTATGCGCAGGAGGCTGAGAGGGGCCTACCGTTTAACAAAGGGCCCAAAGCACCTTCACAAGGAACAATGACCCAGCAGCTGCCAAGCAGCCCCTCCCCATCCATAATTTGCTTCCTGTTGCTAGCTTTTAAAAACAAAAAAACTACAACATTAGAGCCAACACTTCCACCTCCTCCAAAAGCCCTTGCTGGTGCAGCAAACAGAGTAAAGGAAAGGCACAACCTCAGTATGAAGAGCCCCACATCCACCCAGAATTAAAAAGTCCCTTCTGGGAAGGGGTTGGGTAGGAGGGGAGTCTCAGGGCAGTTTCACAAGGAACACTTCTTTACACACCTTCCAAATTTTCCCTTTTAGCAGAGTTTTATTCTACAGCTTTAAACCTGGCCACGCTTAGTAATCTAGACACTTGTGCATTTCATCTAGACAACAACCTATCTGCCAAGGGCAGATTCAGCTGAGAGGCCAGCGTGTCTCAGGAAAACAGGAGGTGCCGTCCAGGTGAAGGAAGAGGAGGGCTTTTCTAGTCCTTTTGGTAAAAAGCAACCAAAGGAAAATAAGCTTCAAATTTCAGCCTCTCCTGAGAATCAATTCAGACTATCAGCATGACTTCAGGGAAAGCCCCCCATCCCCCTAATGCAGCGCCAGGGGGCTTTGGGCACATGCACTGAAGGAACCGATGGCTTCAGCTCTCCTCTGAGAACAGAGCTTGCTTTTTACTCCTCTCCTACACACTCCCATACTTATTTGTCGCCTGGAAGTAAATGCCACGCATACGCTGCAGCCCACCAGCTCATAAGTGTCGTGACCACATTTCTACTCAGTCTCAAGTACAGTCATTACTGGCCAGGGCATCGTGGCTAGTTGAAGACATTCACCACTTTCCTGCTATACGTCATCGCGGACTGATATCTCAATCTCTAAAATTACTTCAAATGCAGCTGGGAGGAGCCCTGAAGCTGAGCATATGCCTAAAAAAGGCAATTTCACCCCAACTGCAGTTACCAGCCCAGCCTGGCACAAGCTCCCAGCCTGCACTAAAAAGAGCTCATTATTTCACACTGACTCAGCAAAAGGAAATGCTTCAGCACAATCGGTTCCTGGGACATTTTAACCCTCTCAGGGCCTCTCCAAAGGAAGTTACTCTGTGGTAAAGAGCAATTTGCACAACAGTCAGTCATCTCCATGTCGCAGTGTAAAACGTGTGTAGAACCGCTGCCAACCCCAATTCAACCTCTGATAATGAGGTGGTGACAGCCTCTGAGATGGGCAAAATGAAAATTTCTTCCTCAGGTCACCAAAACCAGCTACGTCTAATATCCTCTTCCCAAGGAGAAGAGAGAAGGAAAGGATTGCCCGAGGCAGGCACACACAGCAACACAGAACTATGCCTCCCCCTTCCCCAGCCAGAAGACAGGGCACCTGCTTCCTCTTCCTACCTCCACCTGGTTATTTAGCTGGTGCTCAAAGCACATCAGGGTCTTTGCAGACAAGTAAGGACAGCAGGTTCCTTCTGACAATATAAGCCACACAAGCATCAGATAAAACACAGGTGGCTAATGGCTGCATGGGTGACCCAAGTGGGGCAGGCAGCAGAACATCAGATCAGGCAGGGAGCATAAAGCAGAGCAGAAGATTGGGTAAGGGAAAGGGACCAGAGGGATACTCAGAGGCGCAGGGGGGACTAATTTGTAGCACACCTGTCAAGAAGGTAGGGCCCTCACTGAGTTAAGGGACAACAAAAATATGTGATTGAGAGAAGAGAGGCTATCAGAAAGCAGCTTTTATTAGCATGTTTTACCTAATCTCTCCTTCACAAAATCTGTACTGAACTATTGGTTCCCTGAACTTTTGTTCTCTTTATTATAGATGAAAAGTACACATATATCCATAATTATGTTTGACATTAAAAACCTAAAGCAAAAGAATATTAAGTTTGCATAATTAGGCCCTCAAAAGTCAGGAGCTGCCAGAATTAATCTGGCTCCCTTGCAAGGGAGTCAAATTTTAAGGTCAGGAAGGAATTTTACCCTGTGGTCAAATTGGTACGGACTGGGGGGAGGGGGAGGCAGTGCCTGCCTCTATAGCCAGGAACAATGCCTCTTCTTTGGACATCTCGAGCATATTTTAACAACCTTTGCAGCAGCAGGACGTTGGCTGCTATGGCCCCCCTGCTTTGTGTGCGTCAGATAGGGCGTTATGTCTTGGGGTTGTATTGGGGCTGACTGTGTAGTTTTGCTAATAAGTTAGATAATGGATTTGACTGAGATGGTTTGGATAGGGGTGATCCTGCCTCAGGCATGGGATTTGGCACGATGAAGGTCCCTTCCAGCCCTACGTTTCTCTGATCTCTAATACAGTCTTCAATTACACAATCACATGCAATTTCGTCATTTGGGACTTAGGTGGATGGTGCTTGCTGCATAGGGAGCTATTTGGTATTTCTCCTTAGCCTTAACAGTTGATGGATAGCCACATGCATTGTTTATTAGCAGCTACCTAACCCCACACTGCATGCAGAATTATCATTTTCCTTAAGATGCAACAGAAACACACAAAGCTCTGAAGGACTGTGAAAAGCCCAAAAAATACCCCTCTAAAAAGGCAAAAAGGAGGACTCAGGGAATGACGGACAGGTCAGCCTGACTTTACTACCCAGGAAGTTACACAAGCAAATTAAAAAGTCAAATAGTAAGCATCTGGAGGAGGAAAGGCTGATCACGAGCAATCAGCATGGACCCGTAAAGAACAAATCATGCCAAACCAAACCGATCTCCTCTGACCAAGTAACTAGCTGGGTGGGGATAAAGGGAATGCAATGGACACAGTGTACTTGGACTTTAATAAGAGCATTGATAAAGGCCCACATGACTATCTCATAAGGAAACTGGAGAAAGTGGACTACATAAAATTACTACAAGGTGGACGGATAATTGTCTCACTACCCTCAAGCAAGGTCATTATAAGCAGACCAGTATGGTGGGGTCCCACAGAGGTCTGTCCTAGGCCTGGTGCTGTTTAGCATATTTATTAATGAGTTGGATGCCAGAATAGTTTCCTGAGCAAATCTGCAGGTGACACAAAATTGGGAAGGACTGAAAACACCCTGGTGGATAGGAAAATATTCCAGAAGGATCCTGATACACTGGAAAGTTAGGTTAGAGACAATGGGATGAAGTTCAATGCAGACAATGCCAGATGCTATGATTAGGGAAGAATAACCAAAACCGCAAATGCCAAATGGTGACTCGCATTGAATGAGACACGCAAAATGAGTCAGCAATATGATGCAGTCGCACACAGAGCAAATGCAATTTTGGGTGGCATCAATGGGAGAACTGGAGTATTGGGTACAAGATGCATGAGGGGATATAGTATCGCTCCACTTTGCATTAGTTAGGTTTCATCTACGGTTCTGCCTGCAGTTCTGGGCCCCACATTTTAAGGGGGTCATGAGGATGTTAGAGAGGGTCCAGAGATGGGTGATCAAAATCATAAAGGGGTTAGAAGGCAAGCTGTACAAGGAAATGTTGTCTAAGCTTGCAAAAGGTCATTAAGCAGGGACATAACAGCAATCTGCAAACATCTGAAAGGGGCCCATAAAGAGGAGGAAGAACAACTTTTCTCCCTTGCTGCAGAGGGAAAGACATGAAGCAATAGCTTCAAACTGCACCAAAGTGGAATTAGATCTCAGGAAAAACTTCCTTGCTGCCAGAGCCGTGAGGCAGAAGAAAGCCCTGCTTGTAGGAGTGGTGGAGTGCCCTCACTGGACATTTCCCAGAAGAGCCCAGATAAGCAGTGGGCAGGGACAAACTAGGTGAGGCGCTTCCACATGCATGCAGGGGCTCCACTAGACGACCTTTAGGCGCCTTCCAAACCTAAAACTCTACACACAACCTTCATTACACAACTCTGATTCATGTCCTAAGCACCATCAAGCCTGGGCACTAACCAAGGCCTGGGTCCTGTGAAAAGACTTATGTGATCAAGTTACACATGCACAAGGTAGCTGAACCCAAGCTGTACAGACAACCTTGATTCTGGCACAGCTTCCCTTTCAAGCCATAAAGTCAAGCAATCAAATGCTCTTTAAAAGTTCCTTGGAGAAAATGTATATTTAAAAGTATGTAAACAGGGAAATAAGTTGCAGTAAGGAGGCTGCATTCCCTCTGCATATGATCTTGTTGAAATAAGTACCCCAGAGGAGGCTACAAGAATGATTTATTGGGTGAGAAAACCTCGAGACTGAAGGAGTTTAATCTATTCTGCTCATTAAAAATAAACTAAGAGGAAATTTAATCCAGGTCTACATATACCTCCACAGGGAGAAAATATTTAACACTAGAAGACTCTTCAATCTAGCAGGGAAAAACAGAACAAAATCCTCTAGCCGGACATTTCAAAAAGCAAGCTTTTCATTTGCTATTCATATTTTATATTGAGAATAGTTACCTCCAGAATAGTTCACCGGGAGATGGGCTAAACTATCCACTCAGTAGCAGGAATTTAAATCAAGACCAGATCTCTTTTCTTGTTCAGCCATCTCAAGGATTATCAGACTACATGCAGGAACTCTTGGGTAAAATTTTACTGCTCGCGTTATGCCAGAGGTCAGACTTGACATTCATAACAGTCCCACATGGTCTTATTCTAAGGACCCATGAAAATACGGGATTTCAGAAACAGCAAATCCACCTTGCACTTTTTATACATGAGAGAACTACTCGAATCACAATTTCGCTGTTTTCGAGACTACCACGAAAAATGATGGTTTCTGCGATTTTGCACAGAATCGATGGAATACTAAATGTGAAATGCTGGCTCCCCAGTGGAAGCCAATGGCCGCTGCAGCATGGCCTAGCAGACCACTGGTGGGGCAGGGGGGTGGTTTATACTGCTGTATAGACTGAACTTCAGCAAGGACCAAAGTCGCAAACAATCATCTAATACACCCGTGTCCCCTCCAGTGGCTTCCTTGGTTTATGGAGGCACGTGGTCCTTTATTGGACCAACTATATAGTTGGGAGACAAGCTTGACAGGCTTTCAGAAACATGCAGGTTGTGGCTGTAAACTGCTGTTTCTCTAATGTAGATGGTTCCCCCTGTAAACACAACCATGCCCCATACTCCTATGGCATGTGCACACTTAGCAGTGCTGCTGAAACAATCGCATGACGGACTGTGCTGGCCTGCACACGCTTGTACAGACACGTCTCAGTACTCACCTGGGCTTTCTCCCTCTTGGCTCGTAGCAGCGTGTCCTGGTAGTGCTGTGCCACCTCTGGGGTCACACCCTCCAGTTTTGCTGCAGGGATCTGTAAGGCCTGAAGGGTCTTCTTGGTGTCTCCCTCATCTAGCGCTTCGTTAATAAGCCCAATGGCTAAAATCCCTAGAAACAAAGGAACACAAGGACAGTTGCTGATCAATGAAGAAAGCACACGCACTAGTCCTTCCCAACCTGACATCACTTGAGTATTACAATATTTTTAATAGAAACAGCTTTTTGCTAGTAATGAAAGTTGCAAGGTTTCTTCATATGATGAGCACTCACTCAGTGGGCTGCATACTGTGCAAAAATGAGAGGCCTCAGTGACTGCAGGAGGCTGCAGAGAGAGACAGAATTCAGACAAAACTCATTTTGCAGGTGTGTACGTAAGTCTTTTCCCCAAATTAGCCTGGAGGACCAGCAACCTGGATACTTTCAGCGTATGATATGTAGCCACATTTTAGTTGCACATTCCTAAAACTGTGTATGCATGCACACACGAGCATAGCTGAAAAGTTAAACTTGCCACAGATGAAAGGCCTGGTAGCAATTCTGTTGGCTCCATTAGCTGCCTTTCATACCATTGCAGGTGGGATGGGATAGGCATATTTGCAGTCTCCAGTAGGAGAAGATGGAAGTGGGTTGGAGTATCTCTGCTGTTGCTTGTTTGAAAGGACCCATGGGGAAAAAAGTAGGGTTGATCCTATGAACCGAAAGCTCTCGTGCTGGCTGCCATAGAACTTGCCGGGATTAATTACTGTTTGAACTTGAACATATATTGTTATCCCAGTGCAACAGAAGAATGGAAAGTGCAACCAGACACCAACCTGGCTAGACAACAATCTCTTCAGTGAACTGAAAGTCAAAAAAGAATCTTAGTAAAAAGTCAAAACTTGGTCATATAACTATGGCAGAGTATTGCACAGGCATGCAGGAAGAAAATTAGGAAGGCTACAGCATGATCTGAGATGCAACTGGCAAGAGACCTATAAAAGGCAATAAAAAGGGATTTTACATGTCACGAGGAAGAGAAAGCTCATAGAAACCACAGGTCCCTTACAGAATGCAGAAGGCAGTTTAGTTACAGACAGTGCAGAGGAGGCTGAAGTATTTTTCATTTCAGTCTTCACAAATAGGGGCACCTACCAGAAGGCAAGCGCAGTTGGCCCCCACTAAGGAAGAAGTCAAACAGCCTAAAGCAGGGGTGCTCAACCTCCAGCCCACAGGCCAAACGGGGCCTGCAGATCTCCCCACGGATCAAGAAATTTGGAGGCAGGGGAGAGGTGGCAACAAATACAGTCACCCTTCCCCACCGCCAAATGCTCAAACCCTGCACAGCAAGTTGGGGCCAGGTCATGTCCCCTCCCTCCACCCCCACTGCTGGATGAGGGCAGGCCATGGCCCTCCCCCTGGTCTGGATGGGACTGGGCCACACCCCCTTTCTCCCATGGGGCCGGGCTGGGGCTGGGCCACGCCCCCTCCCTCCCCACAGCCGGGCCAGGTTGGAGCCAGGATGCCAGTCCTGCAGAAAAGGACCAGGGAGTTATGGTGGCCCGTAAACTGAAAACGAGCTGAGAGTGTGCTCCTACGGCAAAAAAGGCCAACGGCATACTCGGTCGCACTAACAAGAGCATCACTTGAAAACCAAGGGAAGGGAGTATTCCACTCTAGTCAGCACTAGGGTCCTATGGACCAACTGTAAAGAGTCCAGTGGAGAGCAACAAAAACGATTAGAGGCCTGGGAAGCATGACTTATGAGGAAAGGCTGGAAAAACCAGGATTATTTAGTCTGGAGAAGAGGCATCTGAGGGGGGATTTGATAGCAGCCTTTAAATAGCTGAAGGATGATAACAGAGAGAATCAGTGGCAACACGTAGGGGATGCATGTGCACCCCCTGAGAGTGTCGGGTCCACCCCGTGACTGGCTCCGCTCCCTGCTTAGGTGATGGGGGGAAGGGGCAGGTGCCCCCCCCGCGTGAGCGCCAGATGTAGGCTGCAGCCACTTTTGGGAGCACCACAGCCGCTCACTGGTTGGTAAGTTTTACCTGGGGGCGGGGGGGAGCATGTGTCCCCCCCCCCCGACTAAGGTGGCACCAGTCGCCCATGGAGAGGATAGAAATGGGCGTTTCTCTGTGGCCGCAAGGGACAAAACTGAAAGCAATGGGCACAGGTGGCAGCAGAGGACGTTTAGGTTGGAGATGAAGAGGAAATTTCTGACTATGAGGGTGGTCAAGCACTGAAACAGGCACCTGGAGAAGTTGTGAAATCTCCATCCCTGGAAGTTGTCAAGATCAGGTTGGACAGATGTTTGGCTGGGATGGTTTAGTCAGGGATGGTCCTGCCTTGAGCAGGGTCTGGATTAGATAACTTTGTGAAGTCTCCTCCAGCCCTACTTTCTTGTGATCCTCATATCTTTTAGATATACACCTACTCTTGATTCAATGAAGGAAAATCCTTCACAATCCTTACAAGGTCAGGCTTTTTTGCTGTCAGACTCATGCTTACTTTTAGCCTGAGACCAGAAACACTCCACATCCAACCATTTGATCCAGTTCTGCTTGATATTCCTTTTTATATATCCACAACCACTGCAGCAATAGCACATGTGCAAGAAGTTCAGGTTCTTCCCCCCCGCACCTCAGGTCCTTTTCAGAGTCACTTCTTCCCAAGTCAGAGTACCCTAACCTAGCAGTATGGCCTGTATTTCTTCCTAGATGTAAGTCTTCACATGTGGCTTTATCATTTGTACTGAAGCAAGCCGGATGGCTCTGCCTCAGTGACCTGACCTCTTCACTACTTGCCACTCTCCCTAGCATTCAAAATTTTGTTAAAAATTATTTTAATTCCAGCTCATTAACAGAAATGTTAAAAAGTATATGGCCAGGAACCAAGCTTAGGGGACCAGCCAGAATACCCATTACCAATACCATATGAGACTTGACAGTTAGTTAATTTTTAATCAATTTAATACATGCTGTATCAATTTTAGACTAGACTAGTTTCTAACTCAAAATGTGAAATGGTGTTAGGTCAAGAGACTCACAGAAATAAGAATATATAAAAGATGCTCTTACCTTCATCAATAGACTTGTACAAAAAGACAGGTATTAATCAAATTGGCTTGAACAGATCTTATTGATAGCATACTGATTGATACCATACTGACACCCATAACAGTTGGTATTCATTAAATTAAGCTTTTTTTTTTTCTTCCTTTCTTTTTACACTAGCGTCCTGTATCAGCCTCTCCAGTTGCCTGGGATCAATGCAAGATACCAGGCCAGGAGCAGAGTGAGGAGGGAGCCGGACACACACGTGTCCCCACACACACGTGTGCCCCCTTACATCACCGGTGGTGGCAGCAGCAGAGGCAGCAGAGGGGGCAGCGGCAGCTGATGCCCCCAAGGTAAGTGGGGTAGAGGGCAGAGGGAGCCGGCGCAGCTGAGGCGGATCTGGAGGGGAAGCCACCTGGATCTCATTTAGCTCAGCCGACAGGGAGCCGAGCTCTCAGGCCGTGCGCGGGCAGTGCACGTGAACAGTGCGCACAAACAGGTGAGCTCTGTAAGGGCGCGCCGGCGTTCGCACAGCAGTGGTCCACAAGGGGCCTCCAACAGGCGAGGGAAGTTGACGCACAGCTCCGCAGACATGGTACAGACACGGCGCGCAGCTCCTCTGGGGCCTCCGCCTGGACGGAGCTCATGGCGGGGTCGGTGGCCCCCTGCCCCCCTGCCTGTGGGGGTGGCCTGGTGGGGACCCAGCGGCTGGTGGTAGGGGAGGGGTCAGGTGGTTCCCTTGCCTGTCCCTCCTGTGCCCGGCTTAGGGCCCTGGAGGAGCAGGTGCGGGAGCTCCAGGCTGAGGTGAGCAGCTTGTGGGGGATCAGGGCTTCAGATGACAAGACTGACACCT